GATGTCACTACTACAGAGATTTAAACAGAGTAGACGATAAAAGACAGTATGACTATTGGTTGATGTCACTACTACAGAGATTTACATAGAGTAGACGATAAAAGACAGTATGACTATTGGTTGATGTCACTACCTCATAGATTTAAACAGAGTAGACGATAAAAGACAGTATGACTATTGGTTGATGTCACTACCTCATAGATTTAAACAGAGTAGACGATAAAAGACAGTATGACTACTGGTTGATGTCACTACTTCAGAGATTTAAACTGAGCAGACGATAAAAAACAGTAATGGCTATTGGTTTATGTCACTACTTCAGAGATTTAAACAGAGCAGACAATGAAAGAAAGCATAACTATAGTTTGATGTTGTTGCGTATTCTCACTACTTTCTAATTTATGACACATCTCAACAATGGTCCAACAAAGGAGCCTTCAACTGTTTTAATAGTACAAACAACTGTTTTCTTTATGATTTTAAGCTGTCGTCGTGGATTATTGCTAATAGCAAATAAATGACTAACACATAAAGTAAACACATTTAAATTACACACACACACACACATATTAAACTGTAAATTGTTACATTGCAGAAACATCAAGATTTACTTTTCACAGTTAGTTTCCCTTTACTCTCAATATTTAAGTCTAACCTAACCTAACCTCAGCATCCATTATTCGCAGCTTATAATAAAATAATGTGTTGTTGTTGTTTTTTACTTTTGTAAACTGGTCGATTTTTCAATGGCTTTACCTGGTAACCCATAGGATAACTTTCTTCAGTCTCTATCGTTCGAAGTTTGAAATTTTCGTTGTAAAAATTTTGAAATTCTCGAAGTAGATTTCTTAGCTTTGAAATACAACTTTAAGATGAACTATCTACCATCCCTCTGAATATAAAGCAACCTTTAAATCCTCTAAACACATCCTTCCCATTAGCTACCGTGAAATAAAAGGTGTACTCTTGGCTGACTATCACTTAGATTTAATATACTTCAGTCTTACAGTAAATATCAAAAGCATAAAACATTATTTAAAGTTTTCTAGTACAAGTCAAACAAGTCCACAGGGAGCGTACGTGCTTCAGCTCACAAACAACATCTTGTCAATTTCACACCTTTCTTCTTGAATCACAGCACGTCGACGTGCAACAAGAAACGATAAGAGGAAAAGACGAAATAAAAGAAACTTGAAAACATTACAAAAGATTCTTCGAAATTATAACTACTTATGTTCATCTTTATATCTATCTTACTAAATGCTATATCTAATATATTTCACAAATGGAAGAGAATAACCTACTATGTATATTACGTACAACTTGGATTACCAATTTTATTCAGTTTTAAATGCAATTTTTATTTCTTCTCCACGCTTTCTAAAGTTATTTTTATCTCACATGTGAAATGATCCACTTCATATTTTTCTGGTTTTTTCTCCAAAGATTGAAATCCAAACGTCATAGATTCGCTGTTAACAAGGGAAGCTGAAGAGAGATTCATGTTCATTGTTCGTTTTTTTAAATAACGAAAATCTAACTTTTTCTTTGCTAGTTTTCATCATTCAATAGTTGAAAAATGATCAACGAATCTGTTTGTTTGTCGTTGTTCAGTTTCTGAAAGACAAAAAAACAAACTAGTTATTTTATCTTTATTTTCAGTTTTTGAATAAGAGAACACGAATAGGGACCAATTAAAATATGAAGTGGTTCTTTTTTTCATTCTTTAACTTTAGAACAATGGAAAATACTGTAGTTCATTTTTACTTTTTAATTTAAACTCTCAGTTATTCGCTATTTCAACTGTATATGCAAGGTCTTCTTTATTTTGAAAAATTTGCACTTGTCAGTGGTAACTCTTTTCAGGACATTCTGGACAGCACTGACGGTTTTATGAGCCTTACCCCAGAGCATTCACACAGAACATTAAAGTTGTCTTCACATAAGTTAAAAGAAATAGAGCAGGCACTTTATTGAACCCGACACAAGTTTGTTTGTGTTTTCACACATCTGGGCTAAACAAGTATAGCTTTTCAGTTTCTTACAGTGTATTTACTTTACAGACTTGTTTTAAACAGGTGACGTATTTAGGTACATAAAAAATATATACAAGTTATTAAGAAAATAAATAAAAGAATATTGATGTTTAAGATCTTGTTGCATATATACAAAACAATAACAGAAAAATGACACACTGTTGCTTTATTCAATAAAATAAAAGAACATTGTCTCAATTCTTCAAAGCTTTTCCTCCAGTGTATTTTTATTACAGCCAAATAAAAGTCTGTCAATGTAGTAATTGAAACGTTTCATTAACTTGACATTATAGGATCTGAAAATATCGAAACAATAACACTGACAACAAAAAGTTTCCAAATTCAAAAATAAGATAACGTTGTTGCTATCCAGTAATATATTATATCATATGAATTACACAACTTTACACATTACTCTGCATATCATCAACAAAATAATATAGTAATGTCAGATATAATGAAGTCTTAATTTCTTCTTCTTGTACTTTCTCCCAGCATGAAATTTCTAAAACAACATGTTGAAGGCTTCCATTAATGTTATCTCTGCATGAAATTGCTAAAATAACATGTTCAAGGTTTCCATCATTGTTCTCTCTGCATGAAATTGCTAAAACAACATGTTCAAGGTTTCCATCATTGTTCTCTCTGCATGAAGTTGCTAAAACAACATGTTCAAGGTTTCCATCATTGTTCTCTCTGCATGAAATTGCTAAACCGACATGTTTAAGACTTCCATCATTGTTATTTCTGCATGAAATTGCTAAAACAACATGTTCAAGGCTTCCATCATTGTTCTCTCTGCATGAAGTTGCTAAACCGACATGTTTAAGACTTCCATCATTGTTATTTCTGCATGAAATTGCTAAAACAACATGTTCAAGGCTTCCATCATTGTTCTCTCTGCATGAACTTGCTAAAACAACATGTTCAAGATTTCTTTCGTTGCTATTTTCTTTGAAAGCTTTAATTTTTGGAGTGCACAATCCACCATACTTGCACCACAAGCCGTAGCCTTCATTCCAAAAGTAGCAATAAAAGAGTAGTTAAGCATAAATTATAAAAAATCAGATGTTGTTCAACATGAACAAATATATCACTTATTATGTAAGTTTGTTTGTTTGTTTTTGAATTTCGCGCAAAGCTACACGAGGGCTATCTGTGCTAGCCGTCCCTAATTTAGCAGTGTAAGACTAGAGGGAAGGCAGCTAGTCATCACCACCCAACGCCAACTCTTTTACCAACGAATAGTGGGATTGACCGTCACATTATAACACCCCCACGGCTGAAAAGGCGAGCATATTTGGTGTGACAGGGATTCGAACCCGCGACCCTCAGATTGCGAGTAGAGTGCCTTAACCGCCTGGCCATGCCGGGCCAAATTATAAATAAAACTAAAGTAATTGAAGTTTATATATATATATTTTGTCATTGTTATTATAGGTTCACATCAGTTAAAGACAATAAATACAACAAATTGCACACTTTTTCAAATTAATCAACCAATAGTAATTATTGACTGAAATTGATGTCTTTTTCAGAAACCCTTCACACCAAATCACTCCACAAATTTATACTAATTTAATGAATAAACACAAATATATCTTTTCTGTACTTACTTTCTTGGCAGGACGTCCCCAGAATCTGTGAGATTTGTTTCTTCGAGTCCTCTCTCTATATACTAAAAAATGAAACACTAAAGATCAGCACAAGTGACAAGTATTGTAAAAATTTCCGAACTTCAAAGAACCATTTTGCATATTCAAATTGATTGCCACGAAGTAGCATTTGTTCATACCCAACGGCTACAGTATATATAATTATAAGCACCTATAAGAATATTACATTATTGCAATTATATTACTATTGCAACTTATGATGTGTATTTCAAAATATTAAGGTAACAAACCCAATCGTTTATTGCATATCAAAACAGAAACAGACCTGCTGAACACTTACAATTGCTGTATTCCTCCCATTGGCAAATACTCTCCTACAGTGTCACTATAATGTTGGCCTTCTTGTTACTACAAATAAGGGAAATCAGATGCTATTATTGCCACAAAATCATTATAAAGACATTTGAATGGATATTACTGTCATGTTAAATGGTGGTTGCAGTTCTAATTTAATGTGAACATCGCTCTGTTTCCTGTCAAACACAAGCATGAACAATTTGTACAAATCATGTTTCTCACATAGAAATGGACAGTAGGAAACTAGCTAGAGATTTATATGTATGTAAAATAGTAGTAGATACTATTACTGCTCAGGGATATAAATTTGCATGACTTGTGATTTTCGACGTACAATTAATTTTCTTAACAGTTGTTAAAAGCTACTTTCAGCAAAACCCAAGAAATGCAAATATCTGCAAAACTGGTGACATTTTAAACTTAACTTTATGTTTTATATCTTAAATGATAGAAAATTATCGATAAAAGAACACATAAAAACCTACCCAAGTAAAATGTCCTTGTTTGGTAATATCTTATCCTTTCGAGGACATGTTCGCTTTAAGCAGGTTGTTCTGATCACTCTTTCTCGTATCACAGCAAAGTGTTCCACAAACCACTCTGCCTAACTCCCTCAATAAATCCCAGTTTGAATTCATCGGAGCAGATATACAATACGCCAGAAGCCACAATTCTCTGCTCTATTTCCATTGGCTAGCATGCAAAGGACTGATAAACTTCTGTGTCACTTGTGTGTTTTTCAAACCATGCTTTGATGTTTGGTGCACAAAGAAGTAAATGCGGAAAAGTAAGTTGTCAGCTGGACAGGTATTGGAGGTATAGACCACTTATTGAGATAGATAAACTTGTCCTCCCCATCTCAGTGCCTGTTGATTGTAATTTTCTATATCGTGAGCTTTCTTAGGGGTATGTTTTCTTTTAGGCTTTGGTATTGCATGTGGTGGGTTAAAGTACACAACTTTTCTCATTGTTCTCCAGATATGTGGAATGACTTCTATTTTTTCTTTGAACAAGTTGTTCTATGAGTGGATCTAATTTGTCTTATTGCATTTGTCGGTTGTCAAAAACGTTTTTTTTTATCTTATGTGTAGATGATAGTAATTTCTTTGTTGCTGTGGCCATCTTCTGACGGTATTCACGTATACGTCTTTAGAGATTGCTACATAGCCTCTTGATAGATTTCCCATTTTTATTTTGTCCTACATAATGTCTTTCTTTAGAATTTTCATCTAATTTTCTGCTGGTGAATTGATATTATGTTTATAATCATCTTGTAAGACCAAACATGCTACTGAAAGGTGTGTTGTTATAAGGTATTTTAGTGATGTAGGGTTGTGAAATTCATTGGTTTCACTAGTAACATTAGTAACAATCAGCTGAGGTAGTACTTAGTTCTTAAGTTGACTTGCTTGGTTCCATATTCAGCATTCAATTGTCAAACTCATCATCATCAGGAAGCTAATCATATTCCAAATGGATTACTTGGAATTCAATATTAATGTCTAGTTCTGACTGTGCATGGCTGTATTCTGGATGACTTGTAGTGGTTGGACTAAGCAGAAGGATTATCAGGAAGCAAAATCCTGGATTAAATGCCTCCAGAGTTGATACATTTATCACAAGACCAATCACATACATTAAATAATTGAATTCTGTTTTATCGTGAACCACCTTGGGAAGATGCCCAGAAATCTTATGTAGCAGGTGTGCAGAGCATATGCAAATAACAGCCCCTTCTTTCTCCATCCACACTCCTTGTCTAGCACTTCCTATGAATGATCAAGGTAATTGGAGATGTACTCTTGGTTGAATTACAACAACGTAACAAGAATGGAAGCCCGACTGTAATCAACCTCTACACACTGAGGTGATCTGGCTCGCCATCGTATTTTGTATAATATCTCGATTCATACGCATAATAAAGTTATATACATCAGCAGTGTTGTGGATATTGTGATCATTTCTGCTATTAGCAGTGGTTGGTCAGTCACCGTTCTCTTATCGTTTGTTCAGTATTGAATAATACAGCACTGTCTTTCCTTGTTCTGAAATCTTGATTATAGCTGTAACAGTAAAATCAAAATGCAGAATTTCTATCTTACAATGTATTAGTAACTTTATCTGAGATTATTTAACTCTTCCTTTTCTTTATTATGCAAGATCATCATCCAAATTCTCATATATTTCTTTCTGCAATGCCATTTCGAGAATGACGTCTTTGTGTAATCTTTCGGATATACTATTTCTCTAACTGAATTTTCTGCATTATATTTTTAGTCCTAAGTCTTCAACCATTACCAGTCTTATAGGAAAGCTTAGGAACTTCAGTTGATCGCTGGTAATATGCATTTGGTGGGTCAATCTGAACGATTTCAGCAGCTGCCTGCCTATAATACATCCCTTTTATTGTTCTGCCATTGGCGAGTACTATCTCACGCCTGAAAACAGTATATAGACTTACTTTTGATACCTTGACCTTCACTGACTTTCTCTTTTCTGGAGAGTTCTTTATCTTAAAGCATTCTGGAAACATGCAAACTGCTTTTTCAGTAACGAGAAGACAATGTTTTTCCGTATATAATGGCTGGAGACGGCTTGAATGGGTAATGAAGAAAAACTTTAATATAACAGCAAATGTACAACGTTTCGACAAGGTTTTGTCATCATCAACGTTGTACATTTGCTGTTATATTAAAGTTTTTCTTCATTACCCATTCAAGCCGTCTCCAGCCATTATCTATTGTATATGGTGAAAGTAATGTCTTTTGATCCATTTTTAGCAACAGCA